ATATATATATATATATAAACTTGATGAGTAGTATTTCGAGTCAAAACGAGCCGTTTTGATAGCCCTATATGTGATATGAATTTAAATATACCAATTAAAGTGGATGATTTACCAATTCCTACTTATATATTATGTTAAAAACTTAAATCAATCTTATTAATTAATATTAACTATTTGATAGCATTTATTTTTTTAATTTTTTTATATAGAATTTATTTTAAGTTCACGAACGAATGATTAATCGATAAATGATTATATATTAATTATAAATTAATTTATTGAACCATAATTGAATAGGCTAAATAGAAATTAAATTAAAATTAATGCTAAATTTTATATGAAATGACTAAATGAAATTTGTTATTTAATTCGGATAGTAAATTATTAATTAATAATCAGCTAAGATATATTCTTAACAAATTAATCTTAATAATTGTTTCATTAAAAAATAATATAAAAATTTTATTTAAACAAACATATTTGAATCCTAAAATAAATGATGAAATAGTTCATAAAAAAATTAATTAAATTTAATCTCTACTGTCAAACAATTTTAAAGTTCGAATGTCTAAATTTCTTAGATTTTTAGTAAATCACGCTTTTTAATTGAATGTTACTCGCTGCCAAACGGCCCACTTCATTGTTTTTAACTTTAAAGTAGAAATTAAAAATTATTATATTAGAAGTCTTGATGTATTTTTTTATCAGACCTATTTTAGTTAAATAATTTAATTTAATATATCATAAATTTTTATGTACATATCTCAAATTCTGATTGGAGGACTGTTGCGAGATGGAATAACTTTTCAGCAGAATGAGGCAGCCTTTTGCTGCTTAGTGGTTGCCCTCGCAATTTGTTTACCCTTTGCTTATACCTAACTTTTGGATATCTGAAAGCCTTTTCGTAGCGATTCTTTATGCGGTTTTGCTGCACAACAATTCTGGATTTCTTTTCTGGCATTTGATTCACTTCTTCGCGGCGGCGGGAAGGGATGGCATCTTCTTTTAATTACTTTCTACACCTTGAATCCCTAACCTGTTCTTCTACTACAACCCAACCGGTTGCTAGAGCAAATATCTTGTGTAGGGTGCCTGCCGTGGCCTGCTTCCAAAGAGGCCTTTTCAGATTTTACGAGATTGATTGCGGAATCGTTCCCTTCGAGGTTGCCGAGAAAAAGAGGCCAATTTTGCTCGGTGCCGGTTTCAAAAAACGAGAAGGAAAGAATGGTCTGCAAGCCCTTGAGACGGGGAGTGGTGGTACAGGGGCGGATGAGGATGAGGGTGAGGATGGAGAGCTGGATATCGCCGATGACGCGCTTCGGAAAACAATCAAGAAGAGCAAAGAGGTTCTGGCAATGCAGAGGGGTCTGCTCCGCCAGGTGCTCCTCACGACGCCCTTCTTTGAGTCAATTTTTCTTATTGCATTAAGAAAACTATAGCTGGTACTGTTAAGGTTCTTTGTTGGTTTAGTTCTTCAATATGGTCACTTTTTTTGTACCTAGAAGTTCCTTATTTTCTCACAGTGGCTTCTAGTTGCTACTATTCATACCATACAATTGTAGGAGGAAGTTCGGGACTTGGGCATAATCATCATCATTAGTGTGTTGGATTGGTGTTACGTATGATAATCATCAGTAGCTTTATCCCAACCTTTTGGGTTGACTGTGGTAGATAAAAATGAACATCACTAGGGCGTCAGTGGTGCTATCTATCAATCTATCTTGTTCTTTATATATGATTCTTCATAGCTTGAGTGTAAAATTCTCACACGTACTGTTCCTATTTTGTTAGGTAAGGCTTGCTGCTCATTGTCAGTCGCTTCTATTCTTCTATATCAGAATGTGATGTCTGCAGAGTTTGAGATCCCTTAAATTCATCATTTTTATGCAGATATCAGAAAGAAGGAAGCTAGTCTCTTCTATAAGAAGTGGTGTTGTTAATAAAGAACTCAAAGCTGATAGTAACGACACTGCTAATTCTTTCTTGAGCAGTGAAAGTTCATCGAAGGCTGATAATGAAGAATATAGGGGTACCAACCTTTTTGACGGATACCATAAAAAAATTCCTGATGAAATGGAAGCTGAGAATAGTGAATCGATTGCAGAAATTCTTGGATTGTCAAGAGAAGCAAGTTCGGATTCAACTGAGATCAATACTCTATCTCCATGTCCTTCAAAACCAGAACCTTATATTTTAGAAGCCAAGGATTTTGAGGAGCTAAAACAAGAAAAAATTCTGGGTGAAAATTCGGAGCAGAATATGGCTTCTAAGGAAGAAAACAAAAGCTTCCATCCTCTAGCTGGAGAAAATGTCATGAATGTCATATTAGCAGCTGCAGAGTGTGCACCTTGGTCCAAAACAGGCAATTGCATTCTTTTTTAGTTCTAAATAAGATTATTATTTTTATGTTATTATCTGGGACTAATTTTTGCTTTTTGGCTTATTTGCATATGTATAAGCATATAGACTAGTGTTATGACTGATAAGTTGTTGATCTCAAGGTGGACTTGGAGATGTGTCTGCTGCTTTACCGAAAGCTTTGTATAAGAGGGGGCATCGAGTTATGGTACTCACTCATTTCCACTGTCTTGTTTTAATGAATTTTAATGAGCATAACTGAAGTTCTTTGGAACATGGTAGCCGACTCTACTACTATATTGTTAGTGCTTTAATACTTTAAGTATTGCTTGGTATCTTAAGATGGCTGGCAATATAGGGCTATTTATGTCTATGATTTCCCGTGTTAAACTAATACTATTTTTTTTCTTCATGTTAAATAAATACTATTTGATAGTATGTAATAGGAGTGTAAGTGAGCTGAGCTTGCTCGACTAGCCGACTGATGTTTCTACGGCAAGTTATTGCGGCACTTCTCCTTCTTCTCCAGTTACCAATCACTTAGATGCCTTCTTCGGTGAGCTTTCATGGCAATCTGATCTTTGGCTCGAGCATACAAGCTGGCTCATGAACCTGCTGTCATTACTACTTGTTGAGCTCTAGCTCGCAATTGGTGCTCCACTCGAGTTCAAGCTCAAGCTCAAGCTTGAGCTGCATTTGACAGATGAGCCTATATCGAGTTTGGCATGACTTGAGCTCGACTTCACTTATTTACACCCCTAGCATGTAAAATGCTAATTAAGTCGAGCATTAATTTTCTAGATTTTTCCAATGAAGGCAAAAATTATCTAATGCAAAGAACAATATAACATGCAAATTTTGATGGAAGGGAGCTAGTAATGCAAACATTTATATGAGAAATTTACATATATACGTTACAATTCTTATTTATTTACACATCTAACACCTAAAATCTCATATTTATATTTATGACACTTTGGTGGCATAAGGTGTATTTCATTTTAAAAGTAAATAATAGTGGTATTTATGATGTGATATTAAAGATTTGAATGTTATGTATGTAAATAAAAAAGAATAGTTGTTAGGTATGTAAATACATAAGAATTGCATGATATATATGTAAATGCCACAATATTTATTTGTTACTAAAGATGAATCAGAAGAAGAGAAGACCAAACTCTATTTGAATCTCAAAGTTTGAGGTCACACGAAGAAACACTTGTTATTAAAATTTAATGCACAAAGTTGAAATCCAGGTAGGTTCAAGATTCAGCTAACTCCAATTGCACTTTCAACAAAATAAATAGACTTTAGGGAGAAGAACAATGATAGAACTATTAATCCAGTATTTTCTTGAGAAATGAGAGAGCATAACATCCCAGAAGATGAGAAGAATTTGTAAGTAAAAGGGCCTTCATATCTAAGGAGAATTTATTATTAGTAGTCAAATGTAGTATAAAATTACTGATCAACTTACTGATAAAAAGAAAGTGATAAAGAAACAGCCAAAGGATAAAAATGATTTGGATAGGTTGATTCTTCTGAACTTTCTAATCAATTAAGATTACTAAGGTATGGCTTGTGAGAACTTGGAAAAAACTGACGTTTAGATGGAATCATCATAATTTTTGCTATGCTTAATCTATAAGATATATTGTATACGTATTCAAACACTTAGGTTCCATAATATATGGTGTTCCATTTTCAATTGCACTATTCAATGGTCGTATCATATGTTACTAGCAGCTTCGTTTCTTGTGGTATGGTTAAAAACTGGTGACTTCGATTGTTTCATACTATATAAATAACTACGTTTCAATTTAATTGTACCTTATGGTTGTTATGTGCCTTGTATCCATTGCAAAAATTTTCTTCATCATAACCATGATGCAACCATTATATTCATCCAAAATTACATACATTCAGCCGTATTATAATTTAAATCCACAATGTCTTCTCAAAGCTATGAACCCCAAATATTATTATCCAGTTACTCATCAAACTATCATAAAGACATAATCATGATCCACCTAGCATTCATCTCAGGCGGCTGTAGATCACAGTACTTCAAAACCTACATAGCATAAACATATGTGTAAACAAAGACTTCAGCAAAGGATCTCATTTATTTTTGCTTTACTTGCTTACCATAGACATAGTTTCTCTAATCTTCGGTATAATCATAACCTGCATGAAAATAGTAATATAGGGCGAGTCAATCAAGCTATCCCTCATTTAAGTATAAAGCACAGCTTACCAGTTTTCATTAGCCTGTTAAGTATAGCTTGATGTACAAGCCAAGTAAGCTATAAATAAAACAAGATGAAACATGTAAATATGATACTGCTATAGGGCATAATTTAACATGTAAAATAATACATGATGTGAGAAACATAATGGAGCATCCCATGCACTTACTATTATGTCATTCTTTCATCTTATTTATGATGTATTTCATTTTACAAAAGTTAGCTAATGTCTTTGCTAGCACCGAGAGGAGGTAAAGAATATGTATGCTTCTATTTATCATAATACATCATTTTATATTTTTAATCATTCAATTTCCTACATTGATTAAGATCTCTTTGCAAGTGAAAATATCTTTTCATTTTACAAAAGTTAGCTGATGTTCTTTGCTAGCACCGAGAGGAGGTAAAAAATATGTATGCTCCTATTTGTCACAATACATCATTTTATATTTTTAATCATTCAATTTTTTACATTGATTAAGATCTCTTTGCAAGGGGAAATATCCTAACCCTTTTAAACTTTATTAGTTTTTTAAACTTTGTTCATACTTTCTGTTTAAACTTAGATTGCACGTAAATTTAGTTTTAATCATTTACAAATTTTTGGACACCATTCTCCTATCATTTTTATCTGCTCTTTAGATAGAAGATTTTCTAAGTCATTATTAAAACGTTACAGCTTTCACTGTGAGACCGTTACTGAGGTTTTTAAAGAAAATACTATATTGCTTGAAACGATAGGTATACTTGCATAGTACCCTTAGTGTAAAGGCTTATTATCTATTTTTTAAATAATTTTATTTATTCACACTAGCTGCTAAATATAATTTGGGCAAAGTTTTTGACAATCTTTTGGAGTTTAAATATCTGCGTAATTACGGGTTGGGTCAAGTTTTTAGCGCCGTTGAATCTCAAAGATCAACGCACTGTTAAGGAACCAAATAATCATTAGCTTGCTAGCAACCAGACAAACTAAAGTGGCTTGAAAGAGTTCATGAGTCCAACTACTACACTCCCACACATGCTCCCTACCACCAATTAGAGTGGTGCTTCCACCTGTTAAAGAGGAAGCGCGTATCCACCACACACTAAACTATTGAGAATTAATACCATTACATGAATTACATTTGATAGGTTCACATCTCGCGAGGAATCACATACCATATCGGTTTTAACATGCATGCTACCTGACATTAATAAGGAATCACATACCATATTGGTCTGAAAATCCATGCAACTAACATACTGTTAAACATTGCCACATCACACTTTATCCATACATGTACCATACATGCATTCAAATATCATACATGCATTCAAATATGTTGTAACAAATGATGCATGCTTGTGTCTTACCAAACACTTTCAGCTACTAAAACATAAATGCATTATCGAACAAATAAAGGACCACATTATCAATCACTAATATTTATCAAATTTAAGGATTGCATGCTATAATAAATCATAGCACGTTACGGATATCTAATAATTAGCATGCTTATTAAATGCCATCATGGTAATATCATCACATAGAGTTCTATCCAGAGTAGAACAACATTAGGCTAACCTTTCATCAAAACCCAAGATATTAAGATTTCATATGTACAACTTAAAATCTGATTATGGACCAGGTTTTATTAAATTTAATCACATTTTCAAACAATAAGTAGAACCCAAAGAGAAGAGAAACTAAGAAGAAAAATTTATCATTCAGGTTTCACTCCAGTAATTTGGATGACGAAAAGTCCCACATCTAAGGGAAATAACATAAAAATTTATAGAACCAATTAGTGAAACATTAAAAAAAGGTTACTTTCTTTTTTCAGAGTTCTCTATTGACTTGGATTGAATGTAGTGTCCACAACGATGTTCGCGGATGGCATATGTGTCTTACAACTGTCTTTAATGTAAGGTAAGATCTAGGCATTATATTTTGTGATCCATTTTAGAACCCATAATGAAAGCCCACTTCTATTATACCATGTGATATTTATGGATTTCAGATATGATAAAAACTTTCTTCATCATGCACATGCTGCATTCTAGGGTATAATTACTGGAAAGAATGTGACGTTCAACTACAAACACTTCATTACAATTTTCAGATGACATAGAAGGCAAATCAAAATAGAGAAGGCTGACTCGATGCAAGTACATAGTTTTGTATGTAAGAGTAAATGAATTCATTTTGTGTCTAGGAAAGTTGGTCAAAATTAACCTAAAGGGTTTGCTTTGTCCAAATTGATATAATTAACCCACCGTTGAAGTTACTTTTCTGGTGAAGTTGAATTGAATTTGTACTTCATTTTGGCTTTGCAGGTTGTGGTTCCACGGTATGAAAGTTACAACGAGGCTCATGACATAGGAGTTCGCAAAAGGTACAATGTTAACGGGCAGGTATGCAGTTGTGCCAATAATCAGATACTTCAATTGGTCCAGGGATTTGGAGATATCATTTGACTTGTTGTTAGTTTCATTACTTTTTGTTCCATTGTGCTGTACAGGACATGGAGGTAGCTTATTTTCATGCTTATATCGATGGGGTGGATTTTGTATTTGTTGATAGCCCAATATTTCACCACCATAAAGATGATATATATGGCGGAGATCGAGTGGTAGGATATATTGTTTGCCAAGATTCTTTGGACCTTTAAGAAATTTATAATGCTTCAGTTTTCTGGTATATTTTGCAAATGATCCTTAGTTGGAAATGCAATTCTATAGTATTGATGACATTGATGGAATTTTTGAGCAAATTTCACTTGTGCTTTTGGAACAGGATATTCTAAGAAGGATGGTTTTGTTTTGCAAGGCAGCTGTTGAGGTATAAGATTAGATTGGGCAGCTACTTACTACAATGCTCATATTAGCTTTTGCTATCATCTAGTTTCTGTACTTACTAAATCAATTTTATGCTTACTGTATTTATTAATTAGTATTTGAATAATAGATTTGCATATGATGTATGTTATTATTGAAATATAGGTCCCTTGGCATGTTCCTTGTGGTGGCGTCTGTTATGGAGATGGAAATCTCGTATTTATTGCAAATGATTGGCACACCGCGCTATTGCCGGTTTATTTGAAGGCATACTATCGAGACCGTGGCTTCATGATATATGCTAGATGTGTTCTAGTTATACACAATATAGCACACCAGGTTTCTCTACTTTCTATAAAATTTAGAAGCATTTGTAATTCTCTACTTTCTATAGCACACCAAGTTTCTCTACTTTCTATAAAATGTAGAAGCATTTGTAATTCTCGCATTTGAATTTATATTTATTTTTCAGGGACGCGGTCCTCTGGATGATTTCAACCAGGTTGATTTGCCTAGTCGCTACTTGGATCTCTTTAAAATCTCTGATCCCATAGGAGGCATTCACTTCAATATCTTTGCTGCCGGCTTAAAAACTGCCGACCGTGTGGTTACTGTTAGCAATGCGTACTCGTGGGAGCTGAAAACCCCAGAAGGTGGGTGGGGATTACATGGGATCATAAATGAAATTGATTGGAAATTCCAAGGCATTGTGAATGGGATTGATGCAAAGGATTGGAATCCTGAATTTGATGTGCACCTGCAATCAGATGGCTACACAAATTACACGTTAGAGACAGTGGATACAGGAAAAGCTCAGTGTAAGACCGCCTTGCAACGAGAACTCGGGCTATCCGTGCGTGACAATGTTCCTATTATTTCATTTATTGGAAGGTTGGACCATCAGAAAGGCGTCGATATTATTAGGGACGCGATGCCTTGGATTGTGAGTCAGGATGTGCAGCTGATCCTATTGGGGTCGGGAAGACCTGAGCTTGAAGAAATGCTGAGGAGAATGGAGAGGGAGCATCATGATAAAGTGAGGGGATGGGTCGGGTTCTCAGTGAAGATGGCGCATAGGATCATTGCTGGTGCTGATGTGCTGATGATGCCATCAAGGTTTGAGCCTTGTGGTCTGAATCAACTATACGCAATGATGTATGGGACTGTTCCTGTTGTTCATGCTGTTGGTGGTCTTAAGGATACTGTTCACCAGTTTGATCCTTACAAGGAGACGGGGCTTGGGTGGGCATTTCAGAAGTTAGAGGCTAATATGTTGATCAACGCATTGCAAAATTGTTTCAAGACGTACAGAAACTATAAAAGCAGCTGGAAGGGACTTCAGAGGAGGGGAATGATGCAAGACCTCAGCTGGGATAATGCAGCTCAGCGCTATGAGGATGTTCTTCTAGCTGCTAAGTATCAGTGGTGATTATTGTTTGTTTTCTTTCCATCCTCATTTTGTTGTAAACTATTCTATCAATTAGCGTTGGTCAGTGAGTTGTATGATGAATATTTATTAAATAATATACACGAGTAGTTACATTTATCCTTTGTTGTTGAAGTTTGCCCTTCTAAAGAGTTTGGTCTTGCTGAAAAAATTTAACGCATTTAGAAGGAAATAATGGACCAGTGGTGTCTCGTAAATGATATAATTTTGTGAAATTTACATACCTAGCACACAATTCTTAAGTATTTGCATTTCTCACACCTAAACTTTCTTATTTACATACACGGTACTTTGGTTTTTTAAATCTATGCATTAAAAATGTGCGATTTGCTTTTAAAAAATTGTAGTAGTACTATTTTTTTTGTCATATTAAATATTTGAGTATTATGTGTGTAAATATGAAAGTTTAGGTGTGAGATATTTAAATAGCCCTATAATTTCTTTTTGAATATTTACATTCAAACCACTAACTCCTATTTATTTACATATCTAACACCTAAACTTCAATTTTAACCTGCATGCCACGTTACTTATGCATGCTCATCTTTTAAAAGTTAAAATGGTGGTATTTTAGATGTGATAGGAAAGATTTTAATGACATGAATGTAAAAAAATAAAGTTTAGATTTTAGATCCTCATTTTTTTTTTTAACTTAATAGTAAATAGAATATTCTAGAATATTGAAGAAATAAGCATCAATCTTATCACTAACACTTAGACTTTAATTTTTACATACATATTATCTTACCTATATATGAAAGGTGTACTTGGCTTTTTAGAGCTTAAAATGATGGTATTTTTTATGTGTACGAAAGATTTCAACGGTATAAGTGCAAGTAAAATTTAGCTGTTAGATATGTAAATATAAAGCAATTGAGTAGTGTGTACGTATGTTGATGCCCCTTTATCAAATTTGCTTTCAATCGCTATGTTGCTTACCAAAATTGCAATTTACAATTTATCATTATCTTCTTTACACATTGAAAACTGAAACAATGGTAACTTTGCTAGGAGAAACTTATCAAGGTTGTGCTGATAGAGATCAATCCGCCATGGGCATTGTTTGAAGCCAACTGCGCATAAAAGTTGCAGTGTTGTTGGCATCATATCGAAAAATATTCCTGTGACAACTAAGTTGCAGCTGCCCCAAGTAGACCCAATGTCCTAACGACGGTGTAAACTGCCATCATAAGCTTCTACAACGGCTGCTATTCTTATAGTGACATTTAACATTTAAAAATTGCTAACCCAGCTAGAAAACACAACTACCCGCACGAACCCATGCACTTGCCATACTGTGTTCTCTTTAATGAGCAATTCTACACATTTAAATCTGACAAGATAAAGGGTCTGCAGGAATATGGGGAATCATGCATGGCCATAAAAGAAGCGGGAGGTTGGAATGAATGAACTGCTGTAGAAGACGTGGATTAATTAGTTAGCTGTGAGAAAGTCTTGAAGGCCGTAAATTTCTCTGTAAGTGGCATTAAGTTATTTCAATCTGATCCTTCTTATCATAATCAGTACCAAACGGCATAATTAAGCTTACTATTCAATCAATTTTAGTCAAAATACAAAATGTAAAGAAAGATAATAAAATAAATATAAACAAAAAAAAAAAACAAACAAATTCATACATGCGGATGAATATTCATACATGCGGATGAATTTTTTCATAAAAAAACCAAACTCAACACGGAACCAAAATATCAATGAATTCTTTTAGGATCAAGCAAACAACCTCTTCTACTCTTAGATTAAAAGTTACTATGGATGTTTCAAGAGAAAAAATAAGTTTTGATGGCTGGTTTTCAGAGGGAGGGACGGAGGGCCATAGGGTTCATGCAAGCATGAAAACAATAACTTAAACATAAGTCCTTTAGAGAGATTTATTTTAGATTTTTATGGTTCTAAATAATTAATTAAAAATAATACCATCCTATCAACTATAATTTCACTGTTAAATAATATTAATAAAAAAAAACTTAATATTGAAGTTAATTAGGTACCAAAATGGGTAGAATTCAACATTAAATATTTATAGATTTTAAAATTCGTGCAAACTCATAAATATTTACCACTACCAACTTTTATGAATATCTCGTTTTTATATAAAAAATATTTTTGTTCTAAATAAAATTTGAATATATATTTTCAAGATAATGAGGAAGGAACATGTTTTTATTTTTAATTTTACAATTATTCTGACACACATAAATTCAAATTGTATATGTTTATTATTTTTTGAAGTAATTAAAAATAATTTATTTTTATTATTTTTAATTAAAGTTTGGATTCCGCAGACCTACCTCGCTACGTTCACCCCTATATTTTCCACATCTTGCACCTCCACGTTTAAATTTTAAAAATATGTACCCGCATGAAGTTTGAACCGTGGAATCAAAAAGCGTAGGGAGACCACTGAAAGTAAAGCGGCGTAGAGGGGGTAGAGGAACGGCATAGGGAGCCTGCGGACCATGAGGAACGTGTTTCCTGCTGCATTTGTGTTGGCGGCCACCATTGCTGCATGCGAAGCCACATCCTCCGCTCCCAGTGGGCTCACCCGCGGTCCTTTCCTCCTGCAACAAACTCACTCTCACCCTCCTCCTTCTTCCTCCATCCTTTTCCGCCCTTCCAAGGCTTTCGACACAAGTAATTCCATTTCTTGCTATCCTTTCATTCTGTTTCCATTCTTTCCTTCCGTTAGTTTAACTTGCATGCTTTGATTTTACTCTCATCAGCCTCTGCATTGGTAGCCAAGTGTGCGCGCGTTATTGGTCTTTCGGTCTCCGACGGCTTCGAGTCCTTCTTCCAGTCGGTCGGCGATGCCCTCCCGGAACAATTTTTCTCCGTGTGGACTCTGGTGCGGGCCAAGGCGTTGGCACCCGTGTTGAAGGTGTTGGTGGCCGCCTGCCTCTTTATGTCGGTGATGTTGGTGGTGGACATCACCTCCATGGCCCTTGTCAGCCTAGCCGTCAAGCTGCTCCGTTTCAGGCCGGAGACACGGTACAAATGGGAACCCATCAAGTCAGACGAAGAGACCGGAAGTTTGGCCTACCCAATGGTCCTCGTTCAGATCCCAATGTACAACGAGAGAGAGGTCTTGCTTTCATCTTATTTTTCACCTTGCACGCGGTAATTTTTAGACTCAACTTCAGGCAAATCATCGAGCACCTTATGCGCGCAGGTCTACAAACTCTCCATCGGAGCGGTGTGCGCGCTCACATGGCCGCCGGATCGGATCATAATACAAGTCCTGGATGACTCGACTGACCCTGCCATTAAGGTTCGAGGCGCAAACCATCAATGTTATTTAAACGCTCACGATTATCATGACAAGGATGCATTCATTCAGCATACAGGAACAAATGAATCCGTTTATCAACATTTTTGTTCGCTACGGTAGTTGCTATAAATGCTAATAAATTGCCTTGCATAATTTTTGAGGGCTTCCTCCTACACGGAAATTGCCCCCCGCATCCTGATGGGTGCTTGAACTTTCTCCCACGGAGGGTTTATGCCAGTGCCAAATCCTGATATGTTCTTGAGTCACACCTCAAGGGTTAGAGCGTATGTCAAGAGAAAGAGACAGAGAGAGACAGGTGCAGAGTAATGAATAGTAAAATATATTTTTCATTAGCTCATTTCTCATAAAATTATCCTTGTACCCTATTTATAGGGAAGAGGGTACAAGATATTTTAGTTATTTTATATGTATGAGCATATGACTCAACTACTTCATGGCTCGATCGGCTTACCTTGGTGGGACTAGGTTCGGTAAGATTTGATTGTTCGGCCATAATCGATCAAGGCAGCCGGTCGGCTCTCAATTGACTTTGGGTTGATAGGACTGACTTGATTGACTAGGCTTTTACCGATCGATTGATCTACTCTAGTCGTTGACCCCTAGTGAGGAGCTTGTCAACTGAGTGATATTAGGATATCATACAGTTGATGAATCACCATAACCCGATAGGTAGCTCACCTCCCTCCCGACATAGAAAGTCAGAGGGATGATTGATGCTACTAAGGAGCCGAGTCTTACCTCAGGTCTTGTTTACTGAAGGGTTCATTGCCAACTGCTACAGGCTTTCCTGTAGTGGCTGACTTGCATGTCTATTTGTTATGTCTTGCTTTGACGGGTTTGAGCTCGGACCATTTGGACATCTTTAGGCTTGTGGGCTTTAGCTCGGATGGCTGCTTCCAGTCTATTTGGGCTTTATTTTTTGGTTCAAATTGCTATGCCCAGTTAGATAAGTCGCCCTCTGGTCATTTATTGGCGGACCCTTCTCAGCTGTACTTTCTTGTCTCCCAGACCGTCGAATTTCCTCGAGATTCATGCTGGTGCATTCCCTATATATATATTTTAGTTTTTCGATTCTTTTCTTGAAAACGACAATTCTGATGAGAATAAGAGAATTAAATATAAAAATATATGTTATTTATATCATAATCAAAACTTCAATAATTTTAACTTCTTAGATTTTCATGTCTATGTTTTTTTTATAAATAGGACGTGATGGGACTCTTTTGATATTCCATATCTGCCTTGCATTTCTTCGTCAGTCAGTTTCCAAATGTCTTATTGGAGAACTTTTCAGCTTTTCAGATAAGATTTTGAGTAGGAAAATGATGATGATAGACTTCAGACTGCCTGCGACGCTATTCCGCTTTGAGGCTAAGAGAAATCAGAGGGAGAGAAGAGACCGAAGGTTGAAAAGAGGAATAGGAAGAAGAGGAACAGGAAACTCGCTTCCAAGAAGTAGAAGGCAGACAATGCGACGGAACAAGTGGGATATCTGCTACGCTTCAAGGTCCTCGTCAGGGGAAGGACCGAGCGGAGTATAGAAGTAGGTTGGGCACACTCCAAGCATTCGCCTGTTGACCCAACCTATTGTTCCGGCTCGAAACCAACTAGTTGTACAACCTGGGCCTGGAGCTGCTGGCGCTCTGCCCGAGACACATGAAGCTACTGGTGCTGATAGGGGTGCAAAAGACTGCGAGCATTCTGCCACCATCTGGTGAGAGCGGTTTGTCGATTGAATGGTCTGAGCTGTATCGACTACTTTGTATGACAGATTCAGTCTTGCTTGTTAAGTTTAAATTTTGTTTCTCTTTGTTTATATTGTCTTTTTTTACAATCATGCTGATACTGGTTGATGATTTGGGTCCAAAAGATGCCACCAGTTGTGGTTGCCTCGACGTTGGTTGGGAGCGAGGAGGCACGGTTGACTGCCCGGTCAGTTCCCTTGAGACTCACGGGGAAGCAATTGATAGGCCTCAAATGTCTCCTGAATCATTGGCTCGTCGCCTAGATAAGATCAAAGGTTCCTTCGCTTGGGAGGCTGGGATCCATCAAGAGGAGGAAATATGCGGGTTGCGGGAGGAGCCGACAGCTCTTCGGCTAGTCCTTTTGGAAGTTTAGGAGACATCTTCAATACTCCAGATCCAGGTCAAGACGAATTGTATAAATATGTTTAAATTCGGGGGAGAGGTTTTGTACAAGAGATCGTTTCGGCGATGGATTGTCTCGGCCGAAGCAACAGATGAACCACTTGTAAAGTTTTTCCTGTCAGAATATTTTTTGAGTGTAATTCACATATTTTTGGAATAAAATTTAATTTTCTTTCTTGTTTCTGTGTTGATGTGATGACGCACTCTTGAAATCGATGTACAATTCGATGTGACGGTTTTGCTTCCTCTCTTAGCTTATATATAAGGGTTGTGGGTTGGCTTTGGTGCTACACTCTCTACCCTAACTTTGCTTCCTTTTACTTTCTCGGTTTACTGTTTCCGTTTCTTACATGAGGATGGTTCCCAAATACACTCCTTAACTCTTTGGATTGGTTGCTGCGACCGATAGATCAATTATGTCATCGGGGGAGGTGTCCCGGCTGAGAGGGATCTTCGGCTGTTGGGTGTCGGCCCTTTCTCCCAAAGGTATTGCTCCCTTCCTCGAGCCAATGCTTCTCGGATGACATCCAATATCTGATCCTCTAGCTCCTGGATCTGCTTGTTTACAAACTCTCTAGTGCACTCCATGTTATTAGTGTTCTGTGATGAGTTTCTTTTCTGCAATTCACGCTCACCATACCTTTTAGGATGTTGAATTCTGATATGTTTGTGAATCACATCTCAAGGGTTAAAACATAAGACAGGAGAGGGAGAGGGAGGACAGAGCGAGAGATATGTATGGCAATGAAAAGTAAAATGTATTTTTCATTAGCCCATTTTTATAAAGTGATCACCCTATTTACAAATAGGAGGGTACATGTTTTTCTTTGTATTAATGGGGGTGTTACATATATTTTAGGTATTTTATATATATGGTCCTATGATTCAACTACTTCTTGGATGGGTCGGCTGAGCTCAGTGAGTCTTGATTTGTTAAGGTTTGCTCGTTCAACAATATTGGGTCGAGGTAGTCAGTTGGTCTTTGATTGACTTCAGGTTGGCAGAACTGGCTCGATTGACTAGGCTTTACTGATGACTGATCTAGTCTGGTCGTTGATCATCGATCCCTAGTCAGAAGCTTATGTCAGCTGAATGATGCTAGGTTATCTGACAGATGTTGAATCATCGTAACCCGATATGTAGCTCACCCCCAACATAGAGAGCCAGAGGGATGATTGACGGTACTGAAGAGCCGAGTCTTTCCTCAGGTTTGATCTACAGAAAGCTTAGTTGCCAGGTGCGATAGGCTTTTCTATAGTGGTTGGCTTACACACCTATTTGTTTTGTCTTTGTCTAACGGGTTCAGGCTCAAATCTTTTCCACATTTTTAGCCTTGTGAACTTTGGCTCGGATGGCTGCATCCGGTCTGCTTTGTTTTTGTTTTTAATTCAGACCGCTACGTCTAGTTAGATAAATGGGCCCCTTGGTTTTCCGATGGTGGGCCCTCCTTAGCTGTACATTCCTATCTTTTGGACCATTGGATCTCTTCAAAATTTGTGTTGGCGCATTCCCGATGTACAACCAGCTTGTATTTGGAGTATGTCACATGTTATGTGGTGTGAGATTTTGAAACTTTTTTGGGAGTATGATTTTTCTCTTTTACGTTGTGAATGTTTTCTTGGTGTAAAATTTTATTCCAAGTATCTATCTTTATATAATTGCTTAAATACGACAAAAGGAACTTGGGTGACTAAAGCATAAACATATCATCTTGGAGAGTTCAGGGATTCCTTTTTTCTTTTTTCTCCTTCTTTTTTTTTTTGTTTGTTTGTTTAAAAGCAGACTTAGGCACCTTTGAACCATGACGATTAAGGGCGAACCCTGCCTCGTTTCTACATACGATCAGTTAAGATTTTTCACTTGTTTTAAACTTCAAATTTTAAGCTCAAATATTCTAAGAAAATGTACTTAGAGCTTTGAGTTCGGAAGTCTATTTCAGTTTAAAAGGCAATGGCATTAAATACCCCCCCTTTGAAAGATGAATTTCTCATAGCCGTTGATGCATACCTCTTTTATAGCTACACAATTAGAACTGTCCACTGTGCTGAAAGATCGACCAATGGAATCAATGCCAATAATCTGTCATTTTTAGTCTCAGCTAAGAGAAACTTTCAGACTATTTTGTGGATTTCACTTGTCCTAAACTATTTCCAACAACTTGCCACTATCCTAATAAATACTTTAGAAGCCTACTCCTATCACAACCTATCAGCCTAAACAACAGTCACCAGCACGAATGCCATAAAAAGCGAGAGACCCTGCAAAAGCAACAAAATGGGATAAATTTTTCTTAGCTTTCAAATTCTTTGTTATTTTAGCATATTTAACCAACCTTTATTAAATCCTCATGTTTATCCTAATGCACGCATAGAAATCATTGTTTGTCTCCTGAACAAAAACTGAGCATCCCTAAAGAATTAGTTATTGTGGAATTTCAATTTTTTTTTTCTAGCAACTAAGATTATTTACATACATGTGATGATATTCATATTTATGTTTTGAAATTTTCTGATGATATAGGACTTGGTGGCTCTTGAGTGTAAGATTTGGGCCAGTAAAGGCATGAATATCACTTATGAAGTTAGGGAAAATAGAAAGGGTTATAAAGCAGGAGCATTAAAGAAGGGAATGGAATATACCTATGTTGAACAGTGTGAGTTTGTGGCCATCTTTGATGCTGATTTCAGGCCTGGTGCTGATTTTCTCATGAGAACGATTCCTTATCTTGTGTCCAATTCACAAATTGCTCTCGTTCAAGCTCGCTGGGAGTTTGGTAAGGTTGCTTTAAAGCTGCAAACATATTACACAATTTGAATATTTATTTGTGAAAATTTGTTTGCCTTTGGTTTTCATGCTTGCAATGGTTTGTTCCACATACATTGGAATATATGAGAAAAATATCTATCAATAGTTGTTATTTTTACCTATATAGTGGATGTACCAATTATCGCAATAGTTGAATATAGGGGCCTTTGCTTAGCTTAAAGTTTACTGAAAAATTGGTTCGAGTTGTGATTCAGAATGTGCTCATATTCAAGTCCACAAGCCGATTAACAAGCCAAGTTTACCTCGATTAAAATATGAATCTAACGTAGGTTAGGTTAGATCCAGCTAGCTTGACTTTAGCATGCATAGATGTATGTATGTTACATTAATAATTTTTCTGAGCCGATTGAGATTGGATCAATTTGTTACACTAATAGTTTTTGTTAGGTGGTTGAGATTGGATCAATTTGTGCCCAGAATCAAGTATAGAGATTTGTTGTGTGCTAGAGGTGAAACTGGTAGAGTAAGGATTGCTTTTTTTTTTTTATCTTAGCAATTATCGGCAACAACACATAAAATAGTAGTAAAGCAAAGAGAATGAGAAATAAATAATTTATGCGGAAAACCTAAAAAGAGAAAAACTAATAGGCCTAACTTAATCAAAGTAACTTCAACAACTAGTAAAAGGAATTACAAGTAGCATCTTTTCTTCATAATTGGAGATTACATTATTACAAAGCAAACGAGAAATTGTAGCTGTTACAAATGACAATGATGTAAGGATTGTTGTCTGCATACACATGGTTGTGATATATGCCTTAAATGAGATAACTACGGTGCAAGAAAGGTTTTAGCGTTCATTTCAAAAGAGATGGTTGTGACAAAAGTATGGTTGTAATGCAGCTCTCCTAGATATGGGTCACTATCCATGCGAGGTTAAGTTAGGAAGAAAATAGACATGACATATATCCAGAGGAAGAGGTTCACAACACAATATGAGGTTGTGATATAGATATAGAAAAATGTGGGCTAGTTTGTGACAGAGAAGTGGATGTGGGCTTTAATTGGGACTCATCCCAAGAGATAGAAGCGATCGTAGGCCTGTATGCTCTAGCATGAGACTCAACGGAAGGCAGACTAATCACACATATAACACTAGATAGGAATGAATCATAGTACCACGACTGATAGAAAATGATTCACTCCATGGACTCCAAAGGCAAAGATATGACTCAAATGAAATCATACTACTCACTCGTATAACACACTATAAGAATGAAGTCATACTACTCACTTGTATAACACTTTATATGAATGAAATCATACTGCCACGAAGGTTAGAAAATGATTCACTCCATGGACTCAAAAGGCAAAGACATGACTCAAATGAACTAGAGATTTCCCATGTGTAATACATTATATCAAGTGAGATTTATTTTATTATGGGTAGTTAGTTTTTCCATGGGTACAAGCCTCAATGGTTAACTACATCTTGAATGAGAGCCTAAAAAAATCCTCGATTAAAGGTGTTTGTTCATTATCTTTTGAGATTTGACACAAATAGTTTTCTAAGTGAGATTCCTTATTCCAATGACAAAAAAACTCGAGGCTACTAAACATGTTGGGTATCGAGAGTGAGTACAAGCAAACATAACATGTATAATATAGTTGAACACATGAGGTGACATCATCAAGTGATGTAGATATGCGAGTTTTAGAACCTTCCGATGAATGGAAGCTTGTCTGACGACAATAAATGAAACATTGTATGAATAATGTTAGCCTTGAACCTAAATCTAAAAGAGGACTAACATTACTTATTGGGAATGACTCACAACCTAGACTAATGCAAATGTGAAAATGATACTTAGAACTTGGCCCAACATGGGCCTAAGAATGCCTTTGACCTGAACTGACAATCCTGTATGGAAAGTACCATCAGCTAGACTTACCTAATCGCATAAAATCTTGTCATCCGGCCTCTATGCAAATGCATGATATGGTAGGTATGATAAAGAAAGGGAATGAGACTTATTATCTCACTACTAAAGCAAGATAACCCAATCATGATTGGACATGATATGTAAATGTAATATTTTTATTTGGTTGTTTAGACCTAAGTGAGTGATAAAAAGAAAATCTAACATACTGGGTTATGATATGTACGTATCAATCTGGAGCTTTTACTGACTTAAAAAAGCATCTTTTTAATAGACAGTGCAAGTCAACCAAATGCTAACTGCACATCCATGATTCATGAAGAGGCTAAAGTTCTCTTATATATTTTTTAATTTTTCAATGATTGATTTTAAGTGATTTTGTTGCTTATTCGTGAAAGTAGAAGGTTTAACATCCTAAGAGACTAACGTGAACACAAATTTAAGTCAAGCACAACAAATTAGATAAACCTAAAGAAAAAACCTTATATTTTTAAAGCACTTATAATAAACAAACAAGCCAACAAGACAGAACAACTAAAATAATAAATAAAGGCCGGGTGTGGCTAAGTTTATAATACACCTCAGAAAAGAAAAGGAATTGGAAAAAAGGGCACCTGAGCATTTGTCATATACAACCCAACCTAAATTTATGACAACCTGTTAGTCTTGAAGCTCTGTTTTATGTTACATTGAGGCTTCACTTTTATGTTCATCCGCCTATTATATCGCATAAGCCTACATAACTTCCTAAACTAAGATTTACATTTTATAAAACAAAAAGTACCCCATTTTCCTACAAAATAAAACCACACCCTCCTTATTGCTTTTATTGTAGTATGTTTGGTCACAGTTCTACTATTTACTATCGTTTACATCCTCATAAAGATCAGCAACATGTTCAAAAATCTATTTGTATTGAATTGGGGGTGGACATCTTGCCACCTACCATTCTTGCTGAGAAGGTGCAACCCGACCCTCTTTCCAACACCGCATATACCTCTACTCATCTGACTGATGTTGTTCCTGATGGGAAATTTTTTTATGACCCTCTTATTCAAAACTTTGTTGTCTCAGATGAGAACATCATACCCAAGCCGTTCTACCCCTGGATGCTCTTGTTTTTGAACACTCTATTCTAGCTGCTGGATTGGAGCATGATACTCTGGAGTCTCATGAAACATCTCCCCATACTACTAGTACTGATCCAAACGTGCCTATACCACTCATTGTTATTGAAGAAGGCTCACATGCCGAGACACACGAGAGTGCTTTTTTGATCTAATAAAAGATCAGCTGGTACAACAAGTAGATGCTTCCGATGTTCAACAACCTACAAATGTCTGACACACTTTAGATGAATCCACTGATCAGATGAGTCAGTCTTTGGATAAGAAATAAGAGGTCCATTCTAGGAGGAAAAAGAAGAATGGAGGTCGACTTGAGCTCAGGAACTTATTGGAATATACATTGGTTACTACTGACAATGAAACTTATATTACCAATTTGTTAGTTGGCTCCTTCCTTAGAACTAGAGGCAGAGGCAGGGCAAAATTGGGTTGCTCTCTAGCTACCTGATACTACGTGTTTTGACACTTTATTTTTGAGCTCTCATGTATTTTTCTGTATTTTTTTTTTCTGGAACCATTTGCATGTGATTTTTATCGTATGAGTACGGTGTCATGCTTGGACCCTCTTATATATATATACATATATGTATATATATTATAAAGTGATATTTTTATTGGATGCTTGTATGCACATGATTTAACACTGTTGTTGTCGGTCCCAAGCCTGGATGCGAAAAGTGAAGGGTTGCGTTAGGTAGTCGACAGCCAGCGTAAAACTTGTCGACAAAAATCATGACATGAACCCTTTTGATCATTGTGTAAGTGCTAAGGCGTCCCCTGAAAGCGACGCGCTGTATAGCCTGAATACAGTGAAAAGTGTGCAAGGGTCGCTACACCGACGCCCGGGTGTAGTGTTAAATAAGCAAGGGTTCCCACATTACGGGCGAATGCGGGTAAAGAAGTTAGTCCATGAAACTAATGAAACTAATATTAGGATAGGATCTTGGAATATAGGCACTCTCAATGGTAAATTAATGGAATTAGTTGATATTATGATTCATAGGAAAATTAATATCTTATGTATTCAAGAAACTAAGTGGGTGGGAGAAAAGGCTAAGGAGATTGATAATTTAGGTTTTAAACTTTGGTATTCTGGTAAGAGTCGCACTAGAAATGGTGTAGGTGTAATTATAGATAAGAGTTTGAAAGATAATGTTGTAAAAATTAATAGAGTTGGTGATAGAATTATAGCCCTTAAGATTATCATTGATACTAAGATTTTTAATATTATAAGTGTTTATGCTCCTCAAGTAGGTTTAGATACAGAGTCTAAAGTTAAATTTTGGAATGACTTAGAAGACCTATTACAAATGATACCTCTTGAAGAAAGAATTTTTATTGGAGGAGATTTAAATGGACATGTTGGTAGAGTGGTAGAAGATTTAAAAAATATTCATGGTGGCTACGGTTTTGGGGTAACTAATGAAGAATGTAGAGCTATTTTAGATTTGGCTTTAGCGTATGATTTTGTTATTACTAATACTTTATTCAAGAAAAGGGATGAACATCTTATTACTTATAAGAGTGAATCTAATAAAACACAAATTGATTATTTTCTTATGAGAAGAAAAGATCGTCGTGATTGTAAAGATTGTAAGGTCATTCCAACTGAAAACTTAAATACCCAACATCGTTTATTAGTTTTAGATTTTAAAATTAAGAGTTGTAAAATAAAAAAAATATTATGACTCATCATTACAGAATTAGATGGAGAAGCTTAAAAGACAAATAAAATTATTTTTATAAGTAAAATTCAAGATTTTAAAATTTGGGATATTTAAGAAGAAGCAAATGTGATGTGGGATAAAATAACAAACACTATTAAACAAGTAGCAAAAGATGTTCTTGGAGAATCAAAAGAAAAAATATTTACAAATAAAAATAGTTGGTGGTGGAATAATAATGTGCAAGAAAAGATAAAATATAAGAAGTTATGTTAT